AGGCGCCCTCACCAGGGTCCGACCAGAAAGGAGCCTGCAATCAAGGTACCTGATTTGACCGGTATGGAACCCAGGACCCTTCAATCTACAGGTCAATGCTCTGTCCACTGAGCAAAACTGGCTAGGGCAAATTTCCTTTCATTATCCAGTTTTCATTTATCTTCTTCAGCAGATTTAGTATAGTTACTTAAAAATAACATGTCACTTCACTTAAATGAGATATGTTTTTCTGTTTCTTTTTATTTCTTGTGATCTTTTAAATAAAACAATCACTTCTCCCATTGTTTTCAGACCGGCTCTGTGCAGGGACAGTCCTGTACTAATTTGTTGGGTAGCTCTGACCCTTGGCATCAGCCTGTGGAGAAAGCTTGTGGTCTGATAACTTTTGTGATATGCATCTTTCCAGGGCCTCTGTGTGACTTTTTTGATTTCCCACATTTATGAATGCTTTAAATGTCTTATTATTCCAAATAGTCTCATGCAAGAGACTATTTCTTTGGGGCTTTAAGTGATCTATTGTATGTCTCCACCAATAATCTCTTGCCCCAGGTGTCTGCAAAGTCTTAGTCTTCCTGAGCAGTGTCCATTGCGTCTCTCCATTTGAGATTTAAATTAGGTAAATGGGACAAGTCCTCAGGAACTTCTCAGACGTAATATTGAAAATAGGATCTTTTCTGCTCTCTTCAGTTTAGGGAGGGAACTGGGAACTCAGCTTCTTCAAACCAAGACTGTGCCAAAGGAGTGACACAAGGTTGAACAAAAAAGCCACAAAGGTTTCTACCTCTCTTTCTTCCTCCTTTTTAAAAAATATCTCCAAGGGAAAACAATTTGGGACTTCCTAGTGCACTATTTTACTCTCCAGATTTTTTTTTCAAGATTAGGTAAAATTTGCTCATAAGTGTCACTGGTGTAGGGTACACATGATCATTTAAATCCTATATGTCTGGTCACTGATGGCCACTGGAATAATGCTGGCTTCAGTATTTGATTCTTTTGAGAAATCACATTGTCTCGCATTTTCTGAGCTTAAAAATAACTTTATTTCCAGTGACAACGATGTGTTTATTTTTA